ATGGAATAAAGAGGTGAGGAAAATTGTACAAGTTGCGGACAAGTAGAATATATTGAACATTTAATTTTAGAATGTTCCGATTCAGAAAGATGGGAAAAAATATCTAAAATATTGAAATTGAATATATCCTGGAAAAATATTGTTGTAGGATTTTTTAACGAGTTTAATGACACAACATTTTTTTTAAATAATAAAATATTAAATAATGTCATATCAATTGTAAGATACAAAATATACAAGTATAAAATGAAATGTAGGTTGAAAAATGAAAACGTAAATGCAATTGCAATGTTATCTTTTTTTTTTTTAAATCATCTTTATTTCAGTATTAGTATTATTTAATAGCAAAGGATGCAAAAAGTGTTAAATCCAATTACCATCTTTTAAAAAAGTTAGCTGACCAAACATATGATTTTCTTTGTGTTTTGATTGTAAGCACTTTGATAAGTATATGAATATTATATATAGATATTTCATCTATAATATTTATTTCATTTACAAAAGAAATATTTTAGAATGATATATAAGCATATGTGTAAAAATGAAATGTTAGCAATGATATAATTATATACATGTATTTTTCTTCATCTAGTGTATTTAATTTTGTAAATTAAATATTAAAAAAAAAATACAGATCCAAGGAGCTCCTGGTAACCCAGGTGAGGTACCGATATATACAGAGGGCTTCTGCAGAGGTTTTGCCTCAATGTTTTGTTGTATTTTATTGAGAAGAAATATTTTTAAAAAAAAAAAAAACTGCCATTATTCCTATAATATTGAGTGTACACATCTCTTATCCGCAACTCCTCCTATACCACTGAATAAAATTTAATGAAACTTTCACAGAATCTTCATTACATAGTGCCATTGTGCACCTCCTATTTTACTGTTTGAACGGACACATATTTCGAAAGCAAAACATACACACTGCCATTCTTCCTATAATATTGAGAGTACCCATCTCTTATCTGCAACTCCTCCTATAACACTGAATAAAATTTAATGAAACTTTAACAGAATCTTTATTACATAATGACATTGTGCACTCCTACTTTATGTTTTGAACGGACAGATATTTGGACTTTCCCATAGCAAAACATGGACTTTGCCAATATCATACGGGAGACAGGGGTATCATTTTGTGATCTCAGTGCTCACAGTACTTCTAGTTCTAAACACTGATAAATTATATTTAGATTGAAGTAGCAAAAAGTTTGGATATGTAAATGATTAAACTTAGGTGAAAATTATTGAAAGATGTGTTAAAAAGCTAAATCAAATACAGACATTTTCCCTGTTAAAGAATACCTCCATTATTGATGTATCCTTTTGTATTCGCGAGCGAAGATAAATCCCAATTGATGCAATACTGTTATATTGTGTTACTGTTAACTTGTTTTATTTAACGTTTCTCATCAGGCGACTACATTTTCCTTAAAACTAACTTATGTTCTTCCTCTATTAAAGAAAGAGATCCATTTCGCTGTTGAGTTGTTTTCTGGAAAAGTAATGAAGTACACATGCACAACATTTTTTATGATTATGATTTCCTACACTTACACAAAATCTAAAGAATACTTTTCTACTGATTGGATAAATAGTTTTAAATTTATGTTGAAATTTGACTTTTGGAGCCATGAATCATTAACACCTGTAGAGATCAGGTAGCAGTTCATATCATAGGTTAATTAAGAGAGTTACTCACTCAAGTTACCTATTGTTACGTGTTCCCTTCCGCCAGAATCTGTCTTTCCATGGGGTGAGAGGATGTGACCAAAAGCATCAAAATTTTTTTCCACTTCAAACATATCTTATACTCGGAGACATTTACTAAGCAAACTGTATGCATTATTATGATGAAAAGTTTATCTTCATCATATACAAAAATGTAAAAATTCATGACTCCTAGAAAGAGGGTTAAACCTTGGAGATAGGACTAGTTTGGGTACATTTCCTTAGGCGATCCTACTCCTGATAATAATGAGACACCTTGTTTGCAAGGTTATAATTAGCGTGTATCCTTCTACCAAAAATATTGAATTGCATGCCCTATGGACATCTGGTTTTGGACTCATATGTTGAAAATGGTTATATCTTTATACTACTTTCGCCGAAATATGGCTGAAATATTGCCGACTCGGCGTTAAACAATAATAATCAATCAATCGTACTACCTAGTTACCCTACAAGCAAACTGTTTGCAGATTTTAATGAACAGTAAGCCCTTAACCAAAGTTAAATTCTTTTCCTCTTTTTCTATATAAATTGTAACTAATGTCAAGGTTCAGATACCAAGGTGGGGCTATGCTGCGCTATTTTAAAATTTAATATCGCTTTAATATTCATCGTCTTCACTTTTGTTCATCTAACAGGCAAACTGTTTACATGAGTTTAATAAGCAGCAAGTCCTCTGAAATTGTAAAATTTCTGTCCCTCGGTGTCAGAGTAAAGTTATCTTTTTCTTTACTCCCGAACATCTGGAAGGCAAACTGTTTGCATGATTATAATAAAACTAAGTTACCTTTAAACCAAAATTGCAAAAATTATGTCCTTTCTTTTCATAGACAATCTCCGATGGTGTGGCTTCGTTAAGCTTCTTTACTTCTGAGAAAACTTTGTTATACTATACTGAGCGGTTTGCACACTCTATAAATTGTTAAATTTGTGTTTCCTGGGTTTAGGATTAAGCCCCAGCAGTGGGACTAATTTTGTGGCTAAATTGGTCATAAACTTAAAAAAATCAAATATCTTTGAAAATTATTTTCCCTGGAAATTAAGCAGACAAGACCCAAGAGTGTGTCTAAATTTTGCATGATAGTGTGCAGTTAGACCTTTACAACTGTGTATAATTTATGATCCCTGGATTCGGCATTAAGGCTCCCTGATGGCGGTCAAGAATAAATTCATTCTGCCAGTACCTTTAAAAAATTTCCTTACTCAATGATATTTACCATATCGTAAAATCCATGTCACATGGATCTAGAATTCCAGTCCCAGGTAGGGCTGACTTGTAATAGCTCAAGAACCTCACAATAAACAGGTTCTATCACGATCTCTTGGTACATAAGTTTCAAAGAGAGGCTCGTCGTTTTTTTTTTTTAAAGGTATTTTTTATAATGATGCTTACGAAAGAAGCGCATCTTATCTCCGAAAGAATTCTTAACAAATTAAACAGGTACCTAGTGATTGATCTTTTTGTGAGAGTAAAATAAAGTTCCAACAGAATAGCAAAATTTACTTTTGTAATTTGTCATTTAATTATTTTATTGCTTTATTAAGTACGAAAACCTAGCTGCACACTGCTTAAATTATTAAAAAGAACAATGAATCCTTTACCAAAGTGAAATTTATGCTCCATGGATCAAAGGTTCAGGTCCTAAGGTGAGATTAATTTGACCATGTATTGAAAATGCACCTTAAAAAATCTTTATTCGTGTCAAACTAGCAGGTAAACTGTTTGCATGATTTTGGTAAGTGTTAACTCCATAAAAAAGTTATGAAAGTCATGTACCCTGCGTACATATATCCTAGTTTGGGATAATTTGGTAATACATGTAGATTAAAATATTCAAAATTATACTTTTGCAAGTTTAAATCAAACCTGGAAACTATGCCTGATAGCAATAAGTTATGAGTTTTTCCAAACGCATTTTGAGCGGCGTTTTATAACGCCTTTTCATTTCACCTTATTATGCCTTTTCAGAAGGTTATAATGCATTTTGATTCGCGTTATTACGCCTTTATTTGCGTTAATACGCCAATAAGCTTTCCGTTATGACGCTTTGTTGAAACGCATAATAACTCCTTTTGAAAGCATTATTTTACTTATATCTTCGTGCTATTACGCCCTTTTCGCGTTGTTACCCTTTTCACTGTGTTATAACGCCTTTCATTTTCTCTCCTGATAGTCTTTCGTAATTCCTCCCCCAAAGGGGGGGGGGTTCATTTTTTCAATACAACTACATGAAATGAGATCGGAGACCATGCCAGCTGCATATTCTAACGCTCTTTATGCTTAACAATAGTAAATGCTTTCGACTCAATTTGCTACCACATTCGTATTCACACTTGACAAATACATCATTGGAAGAGTTTCTCATCATACTCTGATAGTTTACTGATGTCTAACTACATACTGAATTTTAAAAAAAATGATTCACTAGATTACAAATATAATTAGAGTGCAAGGCCACTATATCTTATCATACATGAACTTTTTCGGGTTCACCTCTGATATCTATTATAGAAAAGAATTACCCTTTATCTTCCGACGAACTATGGATGCATATACAAGATGTACAAGAAAAGTTCAAGGTTGTAGTGCAATTTTTTCTCAACTATCTACTTCAAATCTTGATATTAAAAAAATTTTCCATGCAAGTTTTCATGCAGTATTAAAACATTAATACATATACATGTATATTACCTATCAGTATTATTTAAAAATAAAAACAAGTTAATGTACAAAGACGATGAATGCCAACAAAGGAAAATTGCGGGATAAATAACTTCCCTTCCAAGTTTGTCCACCTTTGATATTCAACATCACGGACAATTATCGTGATACAAAGAAATGTTGTCCTCATGCACTCGGTCAAAGTATATGAACTGCAGAGTGTATGTACCCTGAATTCTCAGAAGTTAAAATGAAAACTTGTTTTTACTTTTGCGCATTTCGTAATTGAAAAACATGCAGATAAACATGTTTTGCATCCTTTTTTTTACCTTTTGTGAATGCTTTTTGGTGTTGATAAAATACAATTGATAAAATCATCCAGTTGAAACAAGAAAAAAATGGATATTTATCTTCTATTATTTGATTTGATTGTGCTTGAAAGTTTGAACATGCAATGAATGGGCAGATAAAAGATTCAGAGCAAACTTTAGTCCAATTTATCACGTATCTGTTACAAATCACGTCCATAGTGTGAAGGTAGGTAATCTTAAGTAAATATAGTTAACGGTTCATATACCACGTGACCATCACATAATTCTACTGTCAGCTGATTTGATTTGGTGCCTGGACTGGACGTGTTTTACATAAACTTACCAAGAAGGTAAAAAAATTGAAACTTTTGTAATCTATTTATCTAAAAAAAAAAGGGTTTTGTTAAGTAGACGTAAGGCTCAATATTTTTCGTCCCCCAATTTATATATACATATTTTTTAATCTATTCACTTCTGTAATATATGTATCTTTTATCCATCATTTATCTGGATATGTAGGTCATATTTACTAAGTGTATGTAAATTCCTTTCTATGACGCACATTAACTCTTTCACAACAGTTGCAGTGCTATTTTTATATATTTGTAGAGTTGTTTTCTTTTTTAAATCGCATATAAAAATAGAGCTATACACAATAAAATGTGATCAGGTAATTGCAATTAAACGATATTGTCATAACCATTGGATACAATATAATCGTGCAATGGCGGGGTATCTGTGACATAGTATAAAGTCGTTGTACCATTGTAATATCATATCATGGTAAAATTGCCATTGTACAGATTGATTGATTTGATCAATGCAATTTGTAGTATTGGTATTGCCAATTTGCTACATAACATTCACAGGCACCTGTTTCCGTAATAATTTTTTAAGCCATAGTATAATTATACAAGGTATCTAACTTCGAATATCCCTCCCTATTCTCTACTGAGAAGTTGATGGCTCGTTTTAATACTCCCCCTCAACTTCTCTACGAAAGGCCTAATAAAAGCAGTTCAGAAATTGACTAAATGAAGAACCAAACCGGGTCCCACTTCGATCGATGTTTTAGGATTGATGCATTATAATAGACATATTTTGGATGCACAGATGTTGTTTTGCAATGGAAATGCGATTAAAAATACCGATTCTGCTGACTTAAAAACATTTATCACGGTAGAACACTTACTTGCGTAATCTGTGTCACCGGATTCGTTTATTCATTCAAAACTGCGTTTGAACCCGGTTGACCTCTAAAAAAGTCTAAAAAAAAAAATTTCCGGATAATTTGGCCTCAATGTTCCAGTGTTAAATAGTTATCCGGAGGAATAGTTTTAGACTTTTTTAGAAGTTCAAACGCAGTTTGGAATGAATAAACGAATCCGGCGACACAGATATCGCAAGTAAGTGTTCTATCATACAAAACGTGTTTTAAGTCAGCAGATTTGGTATTTTATTCGCATTTCTATGGCAAAATAACATCTGTGCATCCAGACTACGTCTATGATATCGCATCAGACCTAAAACATCGATTGAAGTCGGGTCCGGTTTGGTTCTACATTTAGTCAATTTCTGACATGCTTTTATTTGGCCTTTCGTAGAGAAGTTGAGGGGGAGTATTTAAACGAGCCATCAACTTCTCAATAGAGAATACTCCCTCCCCAGAATCGCAGTCATTTACACTTACTGGGAAAATGCAGCGAGCAGTTTTGACGCTCTTTAAGGAAATAAAAAAAATAATGACAAGCATGTCATATATAAATTAGAAGAGATTTGAAGATTAGATTAGAAAGAGAGAAAGGTAATTACCAGTTTACCAGTGCATTTTCTGAAAGTGTAAAAGACAGCGATTCTGGGGTTGGGGATACTCCATGTATTTCAGAGTTAGGTACCTTGCGTTATTATTATACTATGGGTTAAAAAAAATATAACGGAAACAAAGCCTGTGGTAGCATCCAGGTTATACCATGAAATAAAAGGCGAGAACAAAATCTCTCTAATAATCTTTCTAATAATTGTACAGTAAAGTTTAAGTTACCACAATAATTATAAATCTTGCACGGTGTAAAAATGCACATGTTAAACAGTCGGTATTAATTATTTCATTTTCTGTCAGTTTAGGTTCTACAAATTGTGATGCGGGGCCCCGGCCTATGGCTGGTCGTGTGGCTGACCGCTGCTGTCTTTTCCTCGACCCGGGGCCAGACTTGTAATGGGTCGATGCTTCCTTGGAGTACTGCCGATGGAACCGACCCTATCAAGATGGCGCGAGGAAACGTGACAGTGGTGGCGCTGCTGTTGGCCAGTTGACCAATGTGTCAACAACAAGCAGAAGGGTGAGTATCTCAGGAGAAAATACCGTATTCTGTTTTATAGCAGACACTGTTTAACTGTTTTACGATCGCTTTGGCTTCAAATACAATGCACAATTAACAGCTAGGCACCATCCTCGCAAGCCAGGGGTCCGTTGCCGTTGTCCAGGACCCCTGGCTTGTGAGGATGGCTAGGCACATACTAGATTATTATAACTTGAATGGTTCTTGCAGGTTTGCATTTGGACATCATGAAATAAATTTTTCTGAAAGCAGACCTATTTTTGTTTTCTTGTGAAGCAGAATTTATTAAAAAATTCAACATGAAAGGAAGTTTTTTTCGTTGTGGCCTTTCATCCGACATTTAGATATATATCGACGACGTTTTATCATGACAATATTCAGTTCTAGCTGTTCTTACGTTAAACGATGTATCACATTGAACTCGAAATATAAGACATTACAGAGTCTGACACATGTGTTTCATATATGGATGTCTTACTAAAGAAAACCATTGATGGCATACTAACAACTAAACTTTATGATAAATGTGATGATTTCAACTTTTCTATCTTCAATTTCCCTTATTTACGTAGCAATATCTCATTACCACATGCAAATGGCGTTTTTATGCCCCCAGTTAATCCGATACTCAAGAGCATGTTCCAAGTACGAACAATTTCTAAACGAGACAGGCTATTGACAAATGTATGTAAGTTGATTCAAGAATATCAAAAATCAAGCTTAAAGTCAAAATATTGCAAATTCTAAGGTCACTACAATGACGTTGTTTGCAAATACAACCTGTCAATTAAATCGAATCTTGACTGATATTTTACATACAAATTGTTATGCCATAATATTCACACTGAATTGTCGGATTTTTCCGCTTACCCGATCATGACAAGGGGTATACTACGGGTGTGACCGGTAGACACAGGATACTTACTCCTCGATGGCACCTGATCCCACCTCTGGTTTCAGAGGTCCGAATTGCTCTGCTAATAATTTGTATTGTTTAAATGGACTTTTGAGAACTATCACTGTTCGTTATCTACATATTTCGTCAATATTGAACATTTTAATTGTATGATAAAGGAAATCAACTTTCAGAACATGAATATAAATCAAGAATACCGATTGCTGTGACCTTATTTAAGAAATGGTGATATTTTATTTTATCAAATTAAGAAAACACTCCTAGCAGAGATTAAATTTTGCCATTATCCCAAAAACAATTTGTAAGGTTAATTTTGTGCTCGTGTCACTTTTTGCTGGCACATCATTTATTTTCTGCTTCTTAATAAGGTTTCACTAATACTGCACCTGTCATTTTCAGGACAAAGAGTTCCTCCTTAATGTAAATTGGTCTTTTATACGTCTCGTCTCTTGTTTAAATTATAATTGCACTTATGCTTTTCGACTGCTTTTTATTACACATCTATCTGTCTAATGCAAAATATATTAATCTATTTTCCTAAATTATAACTAATTTCATTTTAAACATTTTTCCTGAGAGTTAAACGTCCTTTAATTTCCGTTCAAATTAAAATTATACTCGTAATTAGAGATATAAATATTCTTCATCTTGCGTTCTTTTCACAGCCTGGAAACGTTAAAAAAAGCATTCCATAACGGAGGGATAGAAAACATTTCATTTTTCATTGTTAACCATGTTAAAGGAAAGAACTTCATTGACGAACTGGAGAGACGGGTGTCTTTCCCTGTGTATCAAGATCATCCCACCCTAATGATCCAACAGAAACTTAATGGAGGGATCGATGATCTATTCATATATGACAGGTAAAGATCATTATTTTGTGGCTAAATCAAGTTATCTGTAAGGACCATTTCTTGTTCACTTTTGTTGAAGAGAAATTATATATAATCTCATACGCATACAATTAGTCAATTACCCTTTCGGATAAGGAGCAAAACTTTTAGCATAGATAAGATTGTTGTAACCAAAGTCTTAAATAAACAACTTTATCTATGACTACATATGTAACTATTTTTCTGTTGATCAGATGTGGTACACTTGTGTATCATTTGAGAAAACCAGACAGCCTCATAACAGCAGGGGCCATGCAGAGTAAGATTTTGTCAGCATACCTGGACAATCTTTGTAACTGTAGTGTCAATTCTAAGGCTAAAGTCTTAACAAAAGTACAGACAACTGAACAAAGAAGGAATGAACAGAGGACCTCTCTTACCTCTGTCATTCGTCGACGCAGGCATGCAGTTAGCAATAGAGGTTCATCTCTCATATCAATGAACAGCGTTGCCTCTCGCGGTGGTCGTGTTCCAAAATGAACAACACACAGGTGAACAGCGATGCGTCGCAACCGTGCCTTACGAAATTTATTGGTACGAAGGTTATGAAAATTTATCAAGAAGTATCGGTCTAGTTATGAGCCCCAACACTCTTGTATATGTCCTCATCCATCTTCTGCTCTAAAAGAAGAGTGTGCTTGATACAGTTATGGTAGTTCTGATGCAATTAGCTTCTGATCTTGTCAAGAACGCACTTTCACTGTTTACAGTGAGTGTCTCTGTTACAATTGTCCGGCATTCCGTAGACGTCACCGACATCAGTTCCTGGCCGACAATACCAACTGAGAACTGCTGTCGAGCTGACATTGTAACCAAGAGAACGGACTGTCATCCACAGACTGCTCTTGACAACATCAGCTTACTGCATTAGAACGATCACCAAGGTGACACTGTCACCTTGAAGCAGACGATTCTTTGGAAGACTGTCAGTGACAGGGGTCTAGAGGATCCTGATCCTGACAGGAAGAGGGTGCCAATATTCAGTGACAGTGACCGTCAGAGGGCGCTTCCTGTCTCTGACAGAGTGGATCACCCACTTGACAATGACATCAACTACCATCAAACAACATCTCCTGACAGTGACAAAATAACCCAGGGGATATAGGCTCGCAGACCTGACAGTGACATCATGGGGAAGGTGATTGCCTCTGACAATGCCAGCAGTCATCCCTGGGCGATGTCACCTGACAGTGACCCATGGGAAATACAGTTGATGCATATGTCAGTTGTACCAATCCCAATGCGTTGACTGGACGGTGACAGTGACCAATGCAGACTAGTGTAACACGTAACTGACAATGACAAAGTGGTCGATCGAATGAAAATTCCTGATCGTGACAACATAGTGCAGGATCTTGACAGTGACAACAACTAGACAATCAAAACCTTTCCTGACAGTGTTTAGACCAACAAGAGACAGAAGCCTGATCTTGACAGTCCCCCATAGACACCACTGACAATTCTGACTGACAATGATATTCAATCAGCGGGGCTTGACAATGACAAACCCAGACATCTAGCGGAATTGTCTGACAAGAGAGAGATGGTCGATCTTGACAATGACACCCTATGTGACAATGACAGACCAATTCCTGACAATGTCGAACAGGAACATCTAATAGGGCGCCCTGCCTCTGACAGCGCCAGACTTGACAGTGACAGTATTAGATATCTTTTCTTGGTTGCTTTGTATTGGAGGTTATGTTGATGTTGTAGTTTTTGTAAATCTGCAAAAAGACTATCGCCATTTGTACTAATACCCCCGAACGAGAATTAACATATGTATTGTATGTTGTATAATTCATCTTTCTTTAATCAGCGTCATCAAAATGATATGCATTGAATCCTGTTTCGTCCTCTATAAATGACAATTTCCAGATAAAACCCAAAAGGTCTCTGTAGGTTTGATAAAATCAGAGGAACGACGTGATTCGAGCTACTTTTGAAAACACTGAATAAAGGGCTGTGTTATACAACTCAGAAGTAAACTTTTCATATAAATGTATTTGATAAAGTAGCATTCCAAAGTATTTATCATATATTTTAAATTTTCTGTTATTGTTTTCTGATGAAAGTGTATCACAATTTGGGTAAACATCTTCGGTTAAAAAAAAAAACAACAAAACAAACAAAATTCAAAACATCTATGTATAAAGTATTCTTAATGTAAAACTCTGAGAATATGAAACTGCTGTACATTTTTAAGTATTAAAATATTTTTGGTCAAAAATTAAAAAGATAACTTGCTTAATGTACTTGATATTGATATGCTTATATTTAAAAATATATATCATTTGAGAAAAAAGTGTATGTTATAAACTGAATGCGAAGGTGAATGAGGTGAAATTCTATTTGTGTGAAACATGCTTTGTTTGTCTATGAAGGGTCACTCTGAAACTTTAAAGAGAGGAGTGGGCTAGAATTTTAGAGATTTATAGCATATTCCACACTGATATTTTTCCAGAGAGACAGTTTATCATTTTTCTCCATTATAAGATTGTTAACGTTGAAAAATAAAGCAAAAAACTGGATATCTTAGTTGATTTTTTTTCTTTTTAGCAGTAGAAATGTGCAAATAAATTTCAGGTAAAATATTATCTCTGCTCATAAGTTTTAATTTCTGGTCATATCTTCTCCAACGTTTCTTAAAGGTAAATTAATGAAATAAGAAGATAAATAACCCCTAAAAACATCAGAAGTGGAATCAGATGCCATAGAGGAGTAAGCATCAGTTAGGATTTGGATTCTATGGGACACATTATTTCTCGATTAATGACCAAGAAAATATTTTTGGTCCATCCAAATAAACTATATATAAGTCCTATCCTGACCAGCCTTGCATACACCTTGAATCACATGGGGCATACTCCCATTATTCTTCAGATGCTACGTGACAATGTACTGGATAAGCCAGCTGCAGGGGCCCGTTTCATCAAAAATCGTAAAGGTTTTCACTTCTATATAAATAGGGATCTGACATATAGGGCCGGGCTTGGTTTTTTTCTCTACAAAAAGCTTGTCGATTTCCGTTCCGATTAATGACATAAGGCTGAATACATGTAACAATTTGTTTTTCATAAATCTTTCTTTCAGTGAGTAGAGGTAGGAGGAACACTTTCATTGATATTCTGAGTTTGTTATCTCCAAATGTAATAATTGATATTTTTCTTTACTTCTCATTGTACATAATGGTAATGTCTACTGTCTCTGGAACTCTATTTCTATGTCCAGGCTATTTATTTAACAACACATTTCCGCTGGATATAATAAAACATGTCATTAATGTGTGCAAATCATATAGGCCTAAATGAAATCCAGTGGAGTACAGTTACTGATATGTGTAGCCCTACTTTTTCAAAACTTAAGATCTTAAAACATTGACTGAAAACAAAAGTACATGTATGTTATTCTAAATATATTAAGGACATACGCAACGTACCTTACCTACTGATAAATTTTCAAGATATTCTTAATTTAAGATTATAGTGCCATCAGAAGTTCGTAGACAAAAGATCAGCATGCATTACCAGGGGTTTTGAAAAGATATCAATTGATGAAATTTTTTGTATAATTCAAAGAAAAATACACAAAAATTACTACACATATATTCTAGATGTTTTGTTTATCCAAACTTGTTTTAGAAGAAGCGTACAACAGCATATATAGACATAAAAATGTAGTACACAATTCCTTTAAGTATCGGAACTCTTCAAATCCAGGGAAAAAGACAATAAAGTTCAAACTACGTTGCGTATGTCCTTAAGCTCAAATAATTCAAGCAATACATAACATACTACATGCAACCCAGACAAGCACTAGTAGCACAGACAGAATAAAAGCAATGTGATTAAATTCTAAGGAATATATACAATTGAAATTCATCGCAGCTCAATGCTGCCGAGAATACCTGTATCGAGTAACACAGAGTGAGTTATTCTTGTCCTCGGAGAAAGTGTGCTTATACTGAGATTTATTCCGCCTGACTGACAACTGTACATTGGATTGTTACGATTTGATCTCTCTCTGGTGTTTCTTATATCAAGAATGGGAATGCATAAAGGATAGATAATTGAAGAAAAATACACAAGCCTATAAAAAAAAAATTAAAATAGTCTTTGAAAAGTCGAAAATTTAAAACTATAAAAGTGTGGCACCAGGTGGATTCGAACCCCCGACTTTAAATAAGAAAGTACCCACGATATTAAAGTCAGCGCATATATCAAATGAGCTATTCTGACAACAAGATTGATTGGTATAAATTTGAAGCAGATTGTCAAAATCAAGTTTACTTATTTTTTGTAGGTTTTTTGAGAATTTCGACCCTAGGGCAGGGGTGCCCCTAAAAAAATCCTATCTTAAATTATTCCTTACATCCCAACCTATCAAAATATCACAATTTTATTTAGGGGCAGGCCTGCCCTGAAGGACTTCTAGGCCAAAATTCATGCAAAAATCAACGCTTTAACGGACAAAATGGTGTTTGGGCCAACTTTGGAGGTTTATTGTAAAGTTGTAAATAATAAATTTTAGTTCTAAAATACAAATTTGAAAGATTTAGACATACATACGATGGAAAACAACAAATAAAGATTGATTTTTAAATGTCACTTTTTCCGGGAAATTGTTCTCTCCTATAGGTCAATTCTTTTGTAATAGTGAATACATCCTTTAAGCTTTAACTTAGGTGTACTTCCCGGGCTTAAGCCAAACTTAAGTCGGGCGTAATTTGCGTTTCATGAAGTGGCGTTTGTCTAGTTGTAAACGATACGCTTAGTCTCAGGACTAAGTCTTTGATAACGCTGTATTGCACATGCGCAAAAAACATAAACATACGTATTGTGTACGGTGTATGTAGAACAACACACGTATACATAAACTTAAATGAAAAATTACATGAATTTTTAGGGATCTTGTTGAAAACATGCATCTTAAATCTAATTATTATAAAATATTAACTACTTACGACATACCATTCGATTAAACTCCAAAATTAAAGGTCTAAGATATGGCATGTCAAACGTAGCAATATTCGATCTTTTCCATTTGCATTGTATAATTTTCCATTTGTATTGTATAATTTATATTTGTATTCTATAATTTTCTATTTGTATTGTATAACTTTTCATTTGTATTGTATAATTTTCATTTGTATTGTATAATTTTTATTTGTATTCTATAATTTTCCTTTTGCATTGTATAATTTCTTATTTGTATTGTAAAATTTCTTATTTGTATGCGATAATTTTTCATTTGTATTGTATCCGCAGATTGCTTATTTGTTTCGTTACGAAGGATTTCATTGGTCAAATTTCAGCCTGTATCGGGTTGAAGATGTTCCGGGTGCTCAAAGCAAACTGGGCTCATATGTATTTGCGTGCATGTTAGAACGGTCATTGGATTCTAAAAAGGGAGTGCTGGAAGATGGCAAATAAATAATTTGTCCTTAGAAATGTTGACTGAAAAAATAAATAATTTGACCTTGAGTGGTGGTACCTACTCCCACCTCCACCCCTTCCCCCACCCCCAAGAAACTGAGTTTTCGGGTTTGGGCTGATTTTCTTCTTTTACTTTTTCTCCTTGTCTCTGGTCATTTTGGAAATAAATATTCTCTCCTGCGAGAGAATGAAAATAAACAATCGGATTCGACACCCCCCCACCCCCCGAGAATCAAATGGTAGTCCCTTTGCATGCACGCAAATAGAGGAGCCGAGTTTATGTTTGTACAGAGTGCTTGATCGGAATTGTGGGAAGGGTACCAGACTAAGTTTGTGTTGGGCACCTGAAACCTTTATACAGACTAATGGCCAATGACATCCTTCGTAACGAAATAAATAAACAATCATCGGATACAATACAAATGAAAAATTTTCGCATACAAATAAGAAATTATACAATGCAAATGGAAAATATAGAATACAAATGAAAGATTACACAATACGAATGATTTTTTTACAATACAAATGGAAAATATAGAATACAAATAAACGTTATACAATCCAAATGGAAAATTATAGAATACGAATAAAAATCATACAATACAAATGGAAAATTATACAATACAAATAAAAAATTATACATTGTGACACGATTGCGGTGTTTTTCTTTGAAGTCTGCTGTTCTGTATTAGCAATACAGAACGGAGAAACAGTGGGCGGAGCTACTTTCCGTTCTGTATTAGCCATGTATACTGTCTTGTATTAGCCAACTGTTCTGTATCTAAAATACAGCACGGTCTAAAAATAAATCTGATTCAATTTATCAAAAGCACGTACAAATAGTAAATGTTGATTTTTTTCCTATCATAAATTTTGAAGAAATATTTCCTTAGGAATGTAAAATGTCAAAATTTCTCAATCACTTTTAAAAAATTATTCCACACAAAATCTACACGTTATTTCGATCCAAACGAAAAGGAAAATTCGCAATAATGGAAAACATCCTATGTTGGATAAATTCCTGAAAACCTGTTTGCTTTCCCTGCTTTTTGTGTCCCCTTCAAAATAGTAAAGCCAATGGGTTCGCGGATGCAGCATACATTACGTGAAATTCTCCCCCCCCCCCCCCCCATTTTCCACTCTTCTCGTGCAAACTCATTCAAGTCCATTTTTCAGGATTTTTTTTTTTAAATTTCCTCTTAAATCCTTATCGCTGACGACAGCCGCGCATATCTTTCACTTCGTTTTTTATGTCGCATTTCAATAAGAAAAATAAAAATCCGTAACATCAAAGTCCATCAAAAAACTGTCTGTATAGCCTGTATGTGTATCTAGTTTAACTGAGATTTTAAGACCCCTGAAATAAATAAGGATCAATCTCCATCTACAACAAGGTTAAATCGTCCACCTTATCAATTAAGACTGACTTCAAGTCTGTTTTGTCTACCCCGTTGTCAAAACTAATCTGACTAAATCTTGCGTTGTCCGTGGAAATATATATACTGCGGATGTATACTCCCCGTCGAGGCCTCATCTACAGAGAGCACAAACGAACTCTGGCGGAAGTTTGGATGCTGCACAGCTATGAAGTGGGCGGTGCTTTTTTTTTTTTTTTTGATTGATCGTGTCACAAATCATTTAGAGAACTCGACATATCGTAGATACAAATTTGGGGGTGGAGACTCGTGCTTCGCACTCGTCCACCCCCAAATTTGTATCAACGATACAGTACCTGTCTCGTTCTCTAAATAATACATACAAATGAAAAATTATACAATACAAATAAAAAGTATGCAATACAAATGGAAATTTATACAATACAAATGCGAAAGATCGAATATTGCAACGTTTGACATGCCATACTAAGAAAAGAAATAAATGTTCTTGTAATTGTATGGAGAGTACATTATTTATTTTGGAATGTTTACAGTATCCCCCCTCCTCGATTTTGATACAGAGAGAGAGAGAGAGAGAGAGAACGAGGGAGAGAGAGTCCGTTTATAATTTTATGAATTTGTATATATATGTAACTGTATGTACTTGTACATATGTACTTGTATATACATGTAATTTGGCATATGAAGGACTAATAAATT